TGCATGTATGTTGTATGTATGTAATATATATATAATAATAATATTTATATATATATATTATATATATATATATATATATATATATAATATATATATATATATATAAATATATATGGGAGTTTTGAATCAAGTGTGAGAGTAATGGTGGTTGGGGATTTCAATGCTAAAGTGGGTAAAAATGTTATGGAGGGAGTAGTAGGTAATTTTGGGGTGCCGGGGGTAAATGTAAATAGGGAGCCTTTAACTTGAGCTATGTGTAGAAAGAAATTTGGTAATAAGTAATACATATTTTATGAAAAAGAGGATAAATAAATATACAAGGTATGATGTAGCACGTAATGAAAGTAGTTTGTTAGATTATGTATTGGTGGATAAAAGGTTGATGGGTAGGCTCCAGGATGTACATGTTTATAGAGGGGCAACTGATATATCGGATCATTATTTAGTTGTAGCTACAGTTAGAGTAAGAGGTAGATGGGAAAAGAGGAAGGTGGCAACAACAAGTAAGAGGGAGGTGAAAGTGTATAAACTAAGGGAGGAGGAAGTTCGGGCGAGATATAAGCGACTATTGGCAGAAAGGTGGGCTAGTGCAAAGATGAGTAGTGGGGGGTTGAAGAGGGTTGGAATAGTTTTAAAAATGCAGTATTAGAATGTGGGCAGAAGTTTGTGGTTATAGGAGGGTGGGGGCAGGAGGAAAGAGGAGTGATTGGTGGAATGATGAAGTAAAGGGTGTGATAAAAGAGAAAAAGGTAGCTTACGAGAGGTTTTTACAAAGCAGAAGTGTTATAAGAAAAGCAGAGTATATGGAGAGTAAAAGAAAGGTGAAGAGAGTGGTGAGAGAGTGCAAAAGGAGAGCAGATGAAAGAGTGGGAGAGGCACTGTCAAGAAATTTTTATGAAAATAAGAAAAAATTTTGGAGTGAGTTAAACAAGTTAAGAAAGCCTAGGGAAAGTATGGATTTGTCAGTTAAAAACAGAGTAGGGGAGTTAGTAGATGGGGAGAGGGAGGTATTAGGTAGATGGCGAGAATATTTTGAGGAACTTTTAAATGTTAAGGAAGAAAGGGAGGCTGTAATTTCATGCACTGGCCAGGGAGGTATACCATCTTTTAGGAGTGAAGAAGAGCAGAATGTAAGTGTGGTGGAGGTACGCGAGGCATTACGTAGAATGAAAGGGGGTTAAAGCAGCTGGAACTGATGGGATCATGACAGAAATGTTAAAAGCAGGGGGGGATATAGTGTTGGAGTGGTTGGTACTTTTGTTTAATAAATGTATGAAAGAGGGGAAGGTACCTAGGGATTGGCGGAGAGCATGTATAGTCCCTTTATATAAAGGGAAAGGGGACAAAAGAGATTGTAAAAATTATAGAGGAATAAGTTTACTGATATACCAGGAAAAGTATACGGTAGGGTTATAATTGAAAGAATTAGAGGTAAGACAGAATGTAGAATTGCGGACGAGCAAGGAGGCTTCAGAGTGGGTAGGGGATGTGTAGATCAAGTGTTTACATTGAAACATATATGTGAACAGTATTTAGATAAAGGTAGGGAAGTTTTTATTGCATTTATGGATTTAGAAAAGGCATATGATAGAGTGGATAGAGGAGCAATGTGGCAGATGTTGCAAGTATATGGAATAGGTGGTAAGTTACTAAATGCTGTAAAGAGCTTTTATGAGGATAGTGAGGCTCAGGTTAGGGTGTGTAGAAGAGAGGGAGAATACTTCCCGGTAAAAGTAGGTCTTAGACAGGGATGTGTAATGTCACCATGGTTGTTTAATATATTTATAGATGTGGTTGTAAAAGAAGTAAATGCTAGGGTGTTCGGGAGAGGGGTGGGATTAAATTATGGGGAATCAAATTCAAAATGGGAATTGACACAGTTACTTTTTGCTGATGATACTGTGCTTATGGGAGATTCTAAAGAAAAATTACAAAGGTTAGTGGATGAGTTTGAGAATGTGTGTAAAGGTAGAAAGTTGAAAGTGAACATAGAAAAGAGTAAGGTGATGAGGGTATCAAATGATTTAGATAAAGAAAAATTGGATATCAAATTGGGGAGGAGGAGTATGGAAGAAGTGAATGTTTTCAGATACTTGGGAGTTGACGTGTCGGCGGATGGATTTATGAAGGATGAGGTTAATCATAGAATTGATGAGGGAAAAAAGGTGAGTGGTGCATTGAGGTATATGTGGAGTCAAAAAACGTTATCTAAGGAGGCAAAGAAGGGAATGTATGAAAGTATAGTAGTACCAACACTCTTATATGGATGTGAAGCTTGGGTGGTAAATGCAGCAGCGAGGAGACGGTTGGAGGCAGTGGAGATGTCCTGTCTAAGGGCAATGTGTGGTGTAAATATTATGCAGAAAATTCGGAGTGTGGAAATTAGGAGAAGGTGTGGAGTTAATAAAAGCATTAGTCAGAGGGCAGAAGAGGGGTTGTTGAGGTGGTTGGTCATTTAGAGAGAATGGATCAAAGTAGAATGACATGGAAAGCATATAAATCTATAGGGGAAGGAAAGAGGGGTAGGGGTCGTCCTCGAAAGGGTTGGAAAGAGGGGGTAAAGGAGGTTTTGTGGGTGAGGGGCTTGGACTTCCAGCAAGCGTGCGTGAGCGTGTTAGATAGGAGTGAATGGAGACGAATGATACTTGGGACCTGACGATCTGTTGGAGTGTGAGCAGGGTAATATTTAGTGAAGGGATTCAGGGAAACCGGTTATTTTCATATAGTCGGACTTGAGTCCCGGAAATGGGAAGTACAATGCCTGCACTTTAAAGGAGGGGTTTGGGATATTGGCAGTTTGGAGGGATATGTTGTGTATCTCTATACATATATGCTTCTAAACTGTTGTATTCTGAGCACCTCTGCAAAAGCAGTGATAATGTGTGAGTGTGGTGAAAGTGTTGAATGATGATGAAAGTATTTTCTTTTTGGGGATTTTCTTTCTTTTTTTTGGGTCACCCTGCCTCGGTGGGAGACGGCCGACTTGTTGAAAAAAAAAAAAAAATGTGTGAGTGACGTGAAAGTGTTGAATGATGATGAAGTATTTTCTTTTTGGGGATTTTCTTTCTTTTTGGGTCACCCTGCCTCGGTGGGAGACGGCCGACTTGTTAAAAAAAAAAAAAAAAAAAAAATATATATATATATATATATATATATATATATATATATATCCTAGGTAGTAGGTTGGTAGACAGCAACCGCCCAGGGAGGTACTACCGTCCTGCCAAGTGAGTGTAAAACGAAAGCCTGTAATTGTTTTACATGATGGTAGGATTGCTGGTGTCCTTTTTTCTGTCTCATGAACATGCAAGATTTCAGGTACGTCTTGCTACTTCTACTTACACTTAGGTCACACTACACATACATGTACAAGCATATATATACACACCCTTCTGGGTTTTCTTCTATTTTCTTTCTAGTTCTTATTCTTGTTTATTTCCCCTTATCTCCATGGGGAAGTGGAACAGAATTCTTCCTCCGTAAGCCATGCGTGTTGTAAGAGGCGACTAAAATGCCGGGAGCAAGGGGCTAGTAACCTCTTTTCCTGTATACTATATTACTAAATGTAAAAGGAGAAACTTTTGTTTTCCTTTTGGGCCACCCCGCCTCGGTGGGATACAGCCGGTGTGTTGAAAGAAAGATATATATGTATATCCTAAGTAGTAGGTTGGTAGACAGCAACCGCCCAGGGAGGTACTACCGTCCTGCCAAGTGAGTGTAAAACGAAATCCTGTAATTGTTTTACATGATGGTAGGATTGCTGGTGCCCATTTTGCTCTCATAAACATGCAAGGTTTCAGGTACATCTTGCTACTTCTACTTACACTTAGGTCACACTACACATACATGTACAAGCATATATATACACACCCCGCTGGGTTTTCTTCTATTTTCTTACTAGTTCTTGTTCTTGTTTATTTCCTCTTACCTCCATGGGGAAGTGGAACAGAATTCTTCCTCCGTAAGCCATGCGTGTTGTAAGAGGTGACTAAAATGCCGGGAGCAAGGGGCTAGTAACCCCTTCTGTATATATCACTAAATTTTAAACGAGAAACTTTTGTTTTTCTTTTTGGGCCACCCCACCTCAGTGGGATACGGCTGGTGCATTGAAAGAAGAGATAATATATATATATATATATATATACATGTATTAGCAGTTTGGAGGGATATGTTGTGTATCTTTATACATATATACTTCTAAACTGTTGTGTTCTGAGCGCCTCTGCAAAAACAGTGATAATGTGTGAGCGAGGTGAAAGTGTTGAATGATGAAAGTATTTTCTTTTTGGGGATTTTCTTTCTTTTTGGGTCACCCTGCCTCAGTGGGAGACGGCCGACTTGTTAAAAACAAAAAAAATATATTTGTTTTTTAAAATCCCCAAAAAGAAAATACTTTCATCATCATTCAACACTTTCACTTCACTCACACATTATCACTGTTTTTGCAGAGGTGCTCAGAACACAACAGTTTAGAAGCATATACATATAAAGATACACAACATATCCCTCCAAACTGCCAATATCCCGAACCCCTCCTTTAGAGTCCAGGACTCAAGTCCGGCTATATAAAAATAACCGGTTTCCCTGAATCCCTTCACTAAATATTACCCTGTTCACACTCCAACAGATCGGCAGTCTGGAGGGATATGTTGTGTATCTTTATATGTGTATGCTTCTAAACTGTTGTATTCTGAGCACCTCTGCAAAAACAGTGATTATGTGTGAGTGAGATGAAAGTGTTGAATGATGATGTAAGTACGTATTTTCTTTTTGGGGATTTTCTTTCTTTTTTTGGGTCACCCTGCCTCAGTGGGAGACGGCTGACTTGTTGAAAAATAAATAAAATATAATAAATATATATATATATATATATATATATAATATATATATATATATATTATATAATATTAGTTTTGTAATTAATACTGAACATAAATTAACATACAGCATTACATGTAACTTGCTATGAACTTTTTATGTGTTAATCATTTATTTACACTATATTTGCATCATTTATTTTTATTATTTAAGGTTATCACCTGAAAATATTTTCTATAACTATACAGAACAAGTTAATGATGGCAATATCATAATACTGCACATTCACTTGGTGTTTCTCATTTTCAATCTACATAAAGAAAATATTCTCACCATTTGTAATACTTTCTCTAATTTGATTATTAACTCTCCTTACATTTTTGTTAGAAAAACATCCACCAAAGCATAAATGTTAGACAAATGCCAATAACAGAACCAAGAATGAGACTGTCACGTCTTTTACGAATGTTAATTTTTGTCATGAGTGTGTTAACAAGTGGGAACCTGTTTGATAAATCATTCACTTTAGTCTGTATCATCTTGAATGCTTCACGCTGACTCTTGAGATGGTCTCTTGTTTCCACAGCAATTGTGATTTGTTCATCTATCATTCCTTCAGAGCTTATGAGGTGTTCACTCTCCTTGAGGTAAAGGTCCCTCCGAGAGAGGCCAGCTAGGCTCTTTCCATTGTTTCTTCCATTTCCAAGCAACTGCTCACGCTCTCTTCTCGATTTTATGGCATTGTTAGTGCGCTGAAATTCATGTGTATAGTCCTGAAAACATTAACACAAATTTAATATAAGTCATCATGAACAATAGAAATTATGTCTAAAAGTATACCAATGTCTATATAGCACTGTATATCTTTGGGAACATGTTTTTAAAATAAGAATCAAAATCAATCCTCAAAAACTGCTGCAGTGCAATATTAGTCACTCTAAATAATACTACATAAGTGTTTTTTCTACTGACACTTGGTAAACAATTGAACAACATTTATGAGGCAGTGTATTAGAATCACTGTGAAAATAAATGGTATAAAATACCGACACAATGGAAACATAAACAATGGAAACATTAAACTGCATATGTGTTTATGTTTCCGTATTAGAATCACTCATTATTTTTTATTTATTAGACCATTTTACCACACTAAAGTACAATTATTTGAGAATAGTGAACAACCATTCTTCAACTGACTTCAATTATTAGTTCTATTGTGTACAATTTACTAAAATAATTCTCATTCTCATAACACACACACACAAAAAAGTCATCAATGCATGTAGCTCAAGGCCTAAGGCCCAACTCCTAAAATTATCAGGCTCTATGATACTGAGAGTTTGAAGCCTACGAGACCTGCAATAGTTATCACTGCATGAAATACAGGGTTAATAATCCTAAAAAAGTTTTCTTATTCTACACTTGGTAGAATGCTTCAGGTAGGAGCTCATTTAGGCATCCTCAACCATGTTCAAATGCAACATTCTTAAGAAATTTGTCTTAATAATTGTGCCCTTAATTGTACACAACTTTGTAAATGAAAATGTAATAACTGGTAAAAACTTTGTAATTTTACCTAAATACCATACACAATCTGGCAGGTTAATATCTAATTACTACTTCAGGTGATTATTCAACTGAAATTTCTTTGCTGAACTTTACCTGAAGAATATCTCTGTGTCGTTGCAAGGTATGTATGGTGGCAACTGATGATCCATGGGGACAACTATTCATTCTCTCATTTATATCTGTAAGGGCTGTTAACAACTGTTCCAGCTCAACTGCAATGGTCTCATACCTGTAAAAATAAATATAGCTACTGTATGTATACCCTGTACAGTACATATACAGTATATTACAAAGCATGTATATAAGGAGGGTAGTCTTAACAAGAATGCATCATAATACACGGGTCATTACTACGGAAAGGGTGTTGTGCTTGATTGGCAGAATGTACCTTCCCAAGATTTGGTGGCACTAATTAGCAAAATAAATTGCCTAAATAAAAACTTCCCATTGATATGGGCATCGCCATGTCAATGGTAATTTTATGAGCACTACTCGGTAGAACTTGGGCATTAATTTACATTTTACAATACATACAACCTATGTACACCGTGAAATAAGTATTTTTGTGCAAATTATTTTGGAAGAGATTTGTGAAAACAATATATTTTTATTGTGCAGCACATCTGGGTCAATCAACACTTAATACAATATTGAGCAGTGTTGCACACCTGGCTAAGTGCAAACAAAGATTTGGTAGTAACGATGGCAGGGTAACGTTAAGGTACATTGTTATTTTAGGTTGTGTTAAAAATGCTTCATTAGATTAGGTTACTTTCTTTTGCCATTTGCACAAGAAAACATTTCAAATGTAAAACAAACTTAAAACTTTATAATTCAAATTATAATTGACTGCTGAAATCTGCCCAGCAGCAGTTACATACTTATATGGCTCTGCAATTTTTTATTATGGGTTAGCTTGAATTATTATTATACTATTAACAAGAAAGTGCTACATCCATAGTGGATCACACAGTGCCTGGAGACTGGAAAGTAATCAGGTCCAGTCCAAGAAAGGGGAGAATAGCTCAAAGTCCTTAGATCAAGACACCCCACCTTGAATGTTAATATAAAGCAACACAAATAAGGAAAACTTTGGGAAGATGGTTAATGGAGTTTAAAGACCACTGACTACATGAGGGTTATTGGGTGCATATAACCTGTTTAACACTATACGTTAATACCCTAGAGAGGGATTAAGTAACATCTATATAAACATCGAGAGGACCTAAATGGAAATAAGTCCAACTTTCTGAGGGATTATCCTAGGTAATATACAAATGTTACTACGTATGATAATTTGTGTAACTGTATTTATATGTATGTACCTAAATAAACTTACTTCGGATTACAAATGCCCCGGCATGATAGTAGCTTTCTTTGTACTTAACAAATCAAAACTGTAATTACACACTGTAACCTTTGCAAAGAAATAAAATCTTGATCCTATGCTGTGAAGACTTACATTTGGTCGCCAGAGAGCAGTGCCATAGTCTCACTGTTACTGCTGGATGCCACATTAGTGCCATAGCTGGCTGCTATCTTGCTGAACGACACTAACTTAACATCAATCTCACTCTCAAGCTGACGTGCTCGCTTCCTTAAATCTTCAAAAGACATTTTCACATCCTCAGGAGACCCTTCTATTGTTGACATTTGTTGAGTCATTATCTACACTTCGTGAAAACTATATATTTTCTGTCAATTTGGTATGTTTCTCTTTAAATTAAAGATTAAATAATAAAAACAAATTTCGTTACTCTCATATGAAAGCTCTTCAATAAATAGATAATATAAAATAAGGATAATTTAATGGGTTGTTCATCCGTTGTGCAACACTGATATATAATGTAAAATTTAACACGTTGTCAGGTGTTGCCTGTCCTATATGTGGTTGCAGGGGTCGAGGAACAGCTCCTAAGTAAGTAAGTAAGTAAGTAAATTTATTCAGGTATACACAATACAGTTACATAGAATTATCATACATAGCAGCATATGTGTAGAGAACCTAGGATAACCCAAAAAAGTCAGACAGACTGACCCCTACTTCTTCGCTGGTCCCTACTAGATTCACTTTCTTCTGGCTTTGAGAGCCTTATCGTATCTATCCTTGAAGCTATGTATGAATCCTGCTTCTACATTTTATAGGTCGTTCCATTTCCTGACTGAAGAAATACTTCCTAACATCCCTATGACTCGTCTGTGATTTCAACTTTCAGCTGTGTTCTCGTGTTCCTTTTTCCCGTCTTTCAAACAATCTGCACCGGTCCACCCTATCAGTTCCTCTCAGTACTTTGTACGTTATCATATCACTCCTTGTCCTTGTTCCTCTAGTGCCATCAGGTTGAGTACCTTTAAATTAACTTCAGTAATAGGACGTACCCCTTAGCTGAAGTACTAGTCTCGTTGCAAACCTCTGCACTTTCTCAAATTTCTTGACATGCTTAACCAGGTGTGGGTTCCATACTGATGCTGCAATATGGGACTGGTGTACACGGTGCATAGTGTCGTGAATCACCTTTTAGATTTCTGAAAGCTAGTCTTAGATTTACCAGACGCACATTTATTGCAGTAGTTATTCCGTTGGTGTGTGCTGCAGGTGATATATTTGGTAAATTGGTACAACTCACCCTAAGGTCCTTCTCCTTAAGTGAGGCTTACAGCCCTTTGCCCCCCCCCCCCGAGCCTGTACTCCGTCAGCGGTCTTCTTTGCCCTTTCCCAAACTTCATAATTTTGCGCTCATTGGGGAGTTAAATTCTAGTAGCATTTGTCAGACTAAACCTGCAGCCTGTTCAGATCTATGTATAGCATTTCCTGGTCCTCAACAGGGATTCCTCTGACTATCCTTTCTGCCATGTCATTTAGTATACAAGAAATAGTACCGGTCCTAGTACTGATCCTCGTGGGACCCCTCTTCAATGCACTCATTCCGACACCTCACATATAATCACTCATTTTCTTCCTGTCAGGTATGCCTTGATCCACTGAGGTGTTTTCCCATTATTCCCGTCTGCTTCTCTAGCTTTTGCACCAATCTCTTGTTTGATGCTGTTAAAAGCCTTCCCACAGCCCAAGAATATGAAATCTACCCATCCCTTACTCCCCTGCATTGTTGTAGAACTCCAGCAGGTTTGTGTTCCTTGATTCTGGTGAGGGGCTCGTAATCTAGGGAATTGGATCTGTGCTCTGGTTCCCTGAATTGAGCCTGAATACCTTCCATCCCCCCCTCACGTGCGCTGTATAATCCTGAGGGTTTAGCGCTCCCCTGATTATAATAATCCAGCGGGTTTGATACAGGATGTGCTCCACTTTTCTGATAATCTCAATAGCCTTACATATTAAACATGTCAGTGACACTGGTCTGTAGTTGAACGCTGCCTGTCTGTCTCCTTTCTTAAAAATTAAGAGTACATATGCTGATTTCACACTTTCGGCAGTTATCTTGTGACAGTTGACTTGTTGAAGATTGTTGCTAGTGGTCCACACATTACCTGACACAAGATATAAAGACCCACAGCCTCAGGATAAATTTTCTTTGACTAGTGTGGAGATCAAGCGTTTTCTTTTTTAGGATGCAAGCATGCTATCCATACACCGGCAAATTGTTATCTGGGATATATTAACAAAAATAATGTATTTTTTGGGGGGATGTGCAACACATTAGCTCCAATCACAGCGAACGTAAACATGACGAATTGAATATAAAGAAACGAACGTCAGTCCCATATCTACCGCTGGCAGAGTAAGGATGGGTTTAGTTATATAAAACGATATCCATTGCAAAACGTACCCGATATTGGACATTTTTAAGAATAAATTATCGCCACTTCCACAAGGACCTGCTCTATAATTACCATTTTTCTTCTTCCACCTTATATATTTGTATTATTTATTAGTGCAGTTTTCTTGAAGGTTTTATAGACATACAGAATTAAGATATATTTGAAGACTTAAGTTGCGGAGCCCTTCAATTTCAGACGTCTGTTGGGAACCCAGGATGTAGTAGGCATTACCCCTCGTGATGATTCTAAGACTCAGTTCTTAATCCAATGAAATGGAGCCACCTCTTTGATCAAATTCGAATACCTCCCATTTTAGGGGCACTGTATATGATCCCTATGGGTGGATTTAGAGCTTCCTCATGACTACTTATAGATGAGCATAATTTTCCATTTCTTACACAGTACTCATTATCGCCTACTTATAAGTTTATTTAGGCAAAGATAGACACAAGTACAATTATCACACAGTGTAAATTACCTAGGATAAGCAAAAAAGTCAAAGTGGGGTGCTTCGTTTCCCTTGTTCTGCCACTCATACTTTCCCTTCACTTCTTTACCTTTAAATTAATTCTCTAAATTATAATTTGGTTCTTTTTTCTCCTGTCACACTGAGGTGGAAAGTTTTCTTTTTTCTTATATTTGCATATTCATGGGGAAGCGCTAAAACCAGAAGGGTCGTACAGTGCTTTAGGAACGGCGAGTAATCAGATCTAATCCAAAGATAGGGAGGATAGCTCCAGTTCCTTGGATGAAGAACCGTTTTCCGTGTTAAAGAGACAGAGAGTGTTGGGTGGAATGCAGGGTGGGTGATAGTACTTTAAGAACGGCGAGTAATCAAGCCTAACTTATAGATTGGGAGGATAGCCCCAATTCCTTGGATAAAGAGCCTTTTACCCCCCGTGTTGAAGAGACAGCAGAGTATTGGGTGGGTTGAAGGGTGGGTTGGGTGGGTGGCAGGGTGGGTGATGGTACTTTAAGAACGGCGAGTAATCAAGCCTAACTTATAGATTGGGAGGATAGCCCCAATTCCTTGGATAAAGAGCCTTTTACCCCCCCGTGTTGAAGAGACAGCAGAGTATTGGGTGGGTTGGGTGGGTTGAAGGGTGGGTTGGGTGGGTGGCAGGGTGGGTGATGGTGCCAGGGAGGACCAATCACACGCCGCCAACTGTGTGTAGAGTCATCACTTGCTTCACTCCTCTCACTGTTCTCTTAACCTTCCTCACTGTTGCTGCTGCCTCACAACACTAAGTTCCGTCGTGGCGGTGAGTATACCTCCTATATTGAGTTATAATGGGAGGTGATATCACTATGGTATATTAGACACATGTGCAACACTTGGCTATATTGGGGAAACGTTTCGCTATACAGTGGCTTTGTCGGTCCTATATAAAGAATGGTGAAGATCAGGAGTTTGAAGTGATCAGTCCCACAGCCTGGAGTGGATTATATCAACTCCAGGCTGAGGGACTGATCACCTCAAATTCTTGATCTTCACCATTCTTCTTTATATAAGACTGATGAAGTCACTGGCGAAACGTTTCCTAAATAAAGATACCCAAGTGTTGCACATGTCTTAATTTATCAACTTGCCGGTTCTCTGCACCATTTTACTAACACCATGATGTACAGGACGAGGTCCGGGAGGTCATTCTTCTTCTCGCATGGGCCAGTAGGCCTGCTGCAGTGTTCCTTCTTTCTTATGTTCTTATGAAAAGCTCTTCATCTAAGGAATTGAAGCAATTATTTCCTCGGATCAAACCTGGTTACCGTCTATACCCCAGGCGCTGTATGACTTAATGAGGCTTTTACTGAAACTAATAACTATATAATATATTTACGTTTATTCAGGTATAGGTACACACATAATACAGTTCATCATACATAGCAGCACATGTGTAGATTACAGGTACACATAAATAGGTAAATTAGGTGACCATAATTACTATACCTAGTAACTTGTGTAAATTACCTAGGATAACCCATAAAAGTTCAGATGAAGTGACTTGTTTCCATTGGTGTCTCAGTGCTGTATGGCCCTTGTAGGTTTAGTGCATCTTTTTGATTATAATTATAATTCCATTGGTGTCCTTGCAATATCTTATAGGTGACAGCATGTGTATATTAAATATATATTTTAATATATATTACTGGAGTGCTGCCTGATGGTCTAGTACAGACATTTTTGTCGCAGTTCTGTTCTTGTTATAATACAGTGGACCCCCGGATAACGATTTTAATCCGTGCAAGAGGGGTAATTGTTATGCGAAATAATCGTTATGTGAATGAATTTTCCCCATAAGAAATAATGGAAATAAAATTAATCCGTGCAAGACACCCAAAAGTATGAAAAAAATTTTTTTTTACCACATGAAATGTTAATTTTAATACACACAAACTGAAAAAGGCATGCACACTTACATGACACTTACTTTTATTGAAGATCTGGTGATGATTGATGGGATGGGAGGAGGGGAGAGAGAGTGTTAGTGTTTAGAAGGGGAATCCCCTTCCATTAGGACTTGAGGTAGCAAGTCCTTTTCTGGGGTTACTTCCCTTCTTTTAATGCCACTAGGGCCAGCTTCAGAGTCACTGGACTTCTTTCGCACAAGATATCTGTCCATAGTGGCCTGTACCTCTCGTTCCTTTATGACTTGCCTAAAGTGTTTCACAACATTGTCAGTGTAATAATCACCAGCACGGCTTGCAATAGCTGTGTGAGGGTGATTTTCATCCATGAAGGTTTGCACTTCAAGCCACTTTGCACAGATTTCCTTAATCTTTGTAGTAGGCAACTTCTTCAATTTCTCTCTCCCCTCCTCTGAACCAGTTTCCCCAGGTCTGGCCTCTTGCTCTTGAAGTTGATCTATCAGTTCATCAGTGGTTAGTTCTTCATTGTCCTCCTCCACCAACTCTTCCACATCCTCCCCACTAACCTCCAACCCCAAGGACTTTCCCAATGCCACAATGGATTCCTCAAGTGGCATAATCATCTCAGGGTTAGCCTAAAAACCCTTCAAAATCCCTTTTGTCTACACATTCTGGCCACAGTTTCTTCCAAGCAGAGTTCAAGGTCTTCTTAGTCACTCCCTCCCAAGCCTTACCTATAAGGTTTACACAATTGAGGATATTAAAGTGATCTCTCCAAAACTCTCTTAGAGTCAGTTGAGTTTCTGAGGTCACTACAAAGCACCTTTCAAACAGCTTTTGTGTACAGTTTTTTGAAGTTTGCAATAACCTGCTGGTCCATGGGCTGCAGGAGAGGAGTGGTATTAGGAGGCAAAAAACTTCACCTTAATGAAGCTCATGTCCCATAAAGTCGCTCTGCCACGTCTGTAGGATGACCAGGGGCATTGTCTAACACCAGGAGGCACTTAAGTTCTAATTTCTTTTCAGTTAGGTAATCTTTCACATTGGGGGCAATGCATGGTGTAACCAGTTATAGAAAAAGTCCCTAGTGACCCATGCCTTACTGTTTGCCCTCCACAGCACACACAAATTATCCTTGAGGACATTCTTTTGCCTGAACGCTCTGGGAGTTTCAGAGTGATACACTAATAAAGGCTTCACTTTGCAATCACCAGTAGCATTGGCACACATGAGAAGAGTAAGCCTGTCTTTCATAGGCTTATGTCCTGGGAGTGCCTTTTCCTCCTGAGTAATGTAGGTCCTGCTTGGCATTTTCTTCCAGAACAGGCCTGTTTCATCACAATTAAACACTTGTTCAGGTTTCAGTCCTTCACTGTCTATGTACTCCTTGAATTCCTGCACATATTTTTCAGCCGCTTTGTGGTCCGAACTGGCAGCCTCACCATGCCTTATCACACTATGGATGCCACTACGCTTCTTAAATCTCTCAAACCAACCTTTGCTGGCCTTAAATTCACTCACATCATCACTAGTTGCAGGCATTTTTTTAATTAAATCCTCATGCAACTTCCTAGCCTTTTCACATATGATCGCTTGAGAGACGCTATCTCCTGCTAGCTGTTTTTCATTTATCCACACCAATAAGAGTCTCTCAACATCTTCCATCACTTGCGATCTTTGTTTCGAAAACACAGTTAAACCTTTGGCAAGAACAGCTTCCTTGATTGTCTTTCTGGTGCCCACAATAGTAGCGATGGTTGATTGGGGTTTCTTGTACAACTTGACTAGGTCGGCGATACGCACTCCACTTTCATACTTATCAATGATCTCTTTCTTCATTTCAATGGGAATTCTCACCCTTATTGGTGTACGGTTGGCACTAGAAGCTTTCTTGGGGCCCATGGTCACTTATTTTCCAGAAACAGCACCGAAAACACTGTAATAATACGAAATATTCCGAGTGTATGCTTGGATGTTACCGCGGAGGCTGGCTGGTAAACAATGGCACGGGCGGCACATGTGAGGCTGGCTGAGGGCGCACATTGGACGCGTCTCGGACGAAAATCGGTGAGCGGGTTTTTAATCGGTATGCGCGGCAAAATTTTTGCGATTAAAGTAAGCGGTATGCGGATTAATCGCTATGTGATGCCATCGTTATGCGGGGGTCCACTGTATTCTGGTATAAATTATTAAAATCCCTGATGAAACACAGCCTTTACATTTTTGTGTGTAATGTTGCCCCTGAATATATTTAGGATTTTATTATACAAGGGAAGTTCCTTGATGCTGGTGAGGGTTCTAGATCCAAGAATTGGACTTCCCCTACCTTTCTTCAGATAGAATCTGAATAATTCGTTCCTCCCTTGGTGCCGAATGACTCCTATTGGTTTAGCACTCTCCCCATGAATGTAATAATAATGGAGTCTAGGCATGAATATAATAATGAATGAATAAATTTATAGGTAAATAAGTAAGTTTGTATCTTTTTCTTGTGACTTTTATCAGGAATTAACCAAGTTAATTTTAATGATGGTGTAAATTTGATATTAAAAACAGTGTGTTTAAAGTTTAGGGTGCTATTTTGTAACTAAAAGTCTCTTATAAAAGCTAAATTAGGGAGGATTTGGTAATACGTACAGTGGTACCTTGGGATATGAACTTAATTCGTTTCAGAAGGCCATTCGAGTGCTGATACCAAACGAATTTGTTCACATAAGGAATAAAGTAAATTAGATTAATACACTTACAAAAGCACTTGCATGAATACACTTGTATAATTGTTCGAGTTTTGAGCTGTTCGTATCCCGAAGTACCACTGTACAGTGGTCCCTCACTTATCGTTGTTAATCTGTTCCTGGAAGTGCAACGATTATCGAAAGACTATTTTTGAATAAATTTTCCCCATAAATAATGTAATACAATTAATTCGTTCCCGACACCCAGAAGTATTAAAACAAAAATTTTTTTACATAAAATATAGATTAATACATAAAAAAACAATGGGACATGATGACCCTTTTTTCCCCCCCGGGTGTTGAAAAAGACAGAAGAGATTGGGTGGGTTGAAGGGGGGGTTTGGGGGGGGGTGGCGGGTGGGTGATGGTATTTGAAAACGGGGTAATCAAGCCAAAACTTTTTGTTTTGGGAGGTTTAGCCCAAATTCCTTGGAAAAAGGGCCCTTTTTTTCCCCCCCCCGTGTTGAAAGTCGCGAGTATTGGGGGGTTTGGGGGGGTTTTTGAAGGGGGGGTTTGGGGGTGGGGGGCGGGTGGGGGATGGTGCCAGGGAGGCCCAATTTCACACGCCCCCAACTTTTTTGTAGGGTCATCTTGTTTTCCCCTCTCACTTTTTTCCTCTTAACCTTCCCCCTTGTTGTGCCCCTCACAACACTAAGTTCCGCCCGGGGGCGGTGATTTATCCCTCTTTTTGGGGGGGGTTATAATGGGAGGTGTATCACTATGGTTTATTAGCCCACATGCCCAAAAAATTGGCTATATTGGGGAAAAACTTTTTCGCTATACAGTGGCTTTGTGGGTTTCCTATATAAAGAAGGTGAAGATCAGGGTTTAAAAGTGATCAGTCCCGCCTGGAGGGGGATTATTTTTCAACTCCAGGTGAGGGCGATCACCTAAAAATTCCTATCTTTTCACCATTTTTTCTTTTTTTTGGACGATGAAGTCACTGGCGAAACGTTTCTAAATAAAGATCCCCAAAGTGTTGCACATGTCTTAATTTATCAACTTGCCGGTTCTCTGCACCTTTTTTACAAAACACCATGATGTACAGGATGAGGCCCGGGAGGTCATTTTTTTCTTCTCGCAGGGGCCCAGTAGGCCTGCTGCGTTTTTCCTTCTTTTTTTTATTTTTATGAAAATTCTTCATCTAAGGTTTTAAAACAATTATTTCCTCGGATAAAAACCGGTTACCGCCCTATACCCCAGGCGCTGTATAACTTAATGAGGCTTTTACTAAAAACTAAAAAACTATAAAATTTATATTTACGTTTATTCAGGTATGGGTTACAAAATTAATCAGTTCATCATACATAGCAGCCCCATTTTGTAGATTAAAGGTACCATAAAAAGGGGAAAAATTTGGTGACCATAATTTCGTTTCCTGTTTAAATTGTGTAAAAATTTCCCAGGGGTTTAACCCCTAAAAGTTCAGTTTAAGTTTATTGTTTCCATTGGGGTTCAGTGCTGTATGGCCCTTGTTTGGGTTTTTTTCCCAATCTTTATTTTTTTTATAAATTTCCCTTGGTGTTTCCCTTTCAAAATTCTTATAGGGGGGACAGCATGTGTATATTAAATATATATTTTAATATATATTACTGGAGTGCTGCCTGATGGTCTAGTACAGACATTTTTGTCGCAGTTCTGTTCTTGTTATAATATTCTGGTATAAATTATTAAAATCCCTGATGAAACACAGCCTTTACATTTTTGTGTGTAATGTTGCCCCTGAATATATTTAGTATTTTATTATACAAGGGAAGTTCCTTGATGCTGGTGAGGGTTCTAGATCCAAGAATTGGACTTCCCCTACCTTTCTTCGGATAGAATCTGAATAATTCGTTCCTCCCTTGGTGCCGAATGACTCTTATTGGTTTAGCACTCTCCCCATGAATGTAATAATAATGGAGTCTAGGCATGAATATAATAATGAATAAATTTATAGGTAAATAAGTAAGTTTGTATCTTTTTCTTGTGACTTTTATCAGGAATTAACCAAGTTAATTTTAATGATGGTGTAAATTTGATATTAAAAACAGTGTGTTTAAAGTTTAGGGTGTTATTTTGTAACTAAAAGTCTCTTATAAAAGCTAAATTAGGGAGGATTTGGTAATACAGTGGTACCTGGAGTTTACCTGGAGAGAGTTTCGGGGGTCAACGCCCCCGCGGCCCGGTCTGTGACCAGGCCTCCTGGTGGATCAGCGCCTGATCAACCAGGCTGTTGCTGCTGGCTGCACGCAAACCAACGTACGAGCCACAGCCCAGCTGATCAGGAACTGACTTTAGGTGCTTGTCCAGTGCCAGCTTGAAGACTGCCAGGGGTCTGTTGGTAATCCCCCTTATGTGTGCTGGGAGGCAGTTGAACAGTCTCGGGCCCCTGACACTTATTGTATGGTCTCTTAACGTGCTAGTGACACCCCTGCTTTTCATTGGGGGGATGGTGCATCGTCTGCCAAGTCTTTTGCTTTCGTAGTGAGTGATTTTCGTGTGCAAGTTCGGTACTAGTCCCTCTAGGATTTTCCAGGTGTATATAATCATGTATCTCTCCCTCCTGCGTTCCAGGGAATACAGGTTTAGAAACCTCAAGCGCTCCAGTAATTGAGGTGTTTTATCTCCGTTATGCGCGCCGTGAAAGTTCTCTGTACATTTTCTAGGTCGGCAATTTCACCTGCCTTGAAAGGTGCTGTTAGAGTGCAGCAATATTCCAGCCTAGATAGAACAAGTGACCTGAAGAGTGTCATCATGGGCTTGGCCTCCCTAGTTTTGAAGGTTCTCATTATCCATCCTGTCATTTTTCTAGCAGATGCGATTGATACAATGTTATGGTCCTTGAAGGTGAGATCCTCCGACATAATCACTCCCAGGTCTTTGACGTTGGTGTTTCGCTCTATTTCGTGGCCAGAATTTGTTTTGTACTCTGATGAAGATTTAATTTCCTCATGTTTACCATATCTGAGTAATTGAAATTTCTCATCGTTGAACTTCATATTGTTTTCTGCAGCCCACTGAAAGATTTGGTTGATGTCCGCCTGGAGCCTTGCAGTGTCTGCAATGGAAGACACTGTCATGCAGATTCGGGTGTCATCTGCAAAGGAAGACACGGTGCTGTGGCTGACATCCTTGTCTATGTCGGATATGAGGATGAGGAACAAGATGGGAGCTAGTACTGTACCTTGGGATATGAACTTAATTCGTTTCAGAAGGCCATTCGAGTGCTGATACCAAACGAATTTGTTCACATAAGGAATAAAGTAAATTAGATTAATACACTTACAAAAGCACTTGCATGAATACACTTGTATAATTGTTCGAGTTTTGAGCTGTTCGTATCCCGAGGTACCACTGTACAGTGGTCCCTCATTTATCATTGTTAATCTGTTCCTGGAAGTGCAACGATTATCGAAAGACTATTTTCGAATAAATTTTCCCCATAAATAATTTAAATACAATTAATTCGTTCCTGACACCCAGAAGTATTAAAACAAAAATTTTTTTACATAAAATATAGATGTAGTACATAAACAATACAATGGGACATGATGAATGAAACATTAACAGCATAACACTTTATTGGAGATTCTTCTTAGTGTATGGAAGACTGGAGGAGGAGAGAGATTGCATTAGTTACTGTTTGGAAGGGGAATCCCCTTCCATCAACACCTCAGGTACCAAGTGTTTTTATGGGGTTACTTTTCTTTTCTTTCTTAATGCCACTAGGACCAGCTTGAGTCACTGGAGTCCTGTCTCACAAATAAAGTGTCCAGAGAGCTCTGTTTCTGGCATCTCTTTAAAACTACTCTAAAATGGGCCAAGACTCTGTCACTGTACAAGTTGCCGATATGGCTTGCAACATCCTTCTCAGGGTGATGTTTCTACATAAATCTTTCCATCCTACCCCACATTTCAAAAATCTCCTTAATTTCTGAAGAAAGCACCTTCTTCCCTCTCTCTTCCTCCTCCTCTGCAGCAAGATTCTGAGCTGTGATCTGTTCCTGTTCCTGCTGAAGCTCTTGCAGCTCCTCAGCTGGCCAGTTCGGCCACACGTACGCCACTTTCATGTTCAATGATGTTTTTCTTAAATTCAATCATATTTCTCACTTTCTTTACCAAAGGCTTGGCACTAGGAGCTTTCTTTGGAGCCATGATAGCTTATTTAGCACTTGCAAGCACTAGAATGAATGGAATATTATTAAATATTTCGTATGAACAAGTGAGGGGACCATCGCTCACTGGTAAACAGTGGTGGTACACTGGCTGGGAAGGGAGACCGAGGAGGCTCAGAGCGTGAGTACGCGTCCCAGATGAAGGACGATTAGCGAGTAAACCGACCATTTGTGAGCCAATGTTTGGACGAGAATAACTCGACGATTTCCGAAAAGGACGACTATCAAGCCGGACGATTATTGAGGGACCACTGTATATCCATTGAAGAAGGTAGCCTGTGGTAGAATTTGTTATACATGAATAGTATACAATACTGACCAGATGAAAATTAGACACATGCAACATCTGGGTATCTTTATTGTAGACGTTTCACCATCCAGTGGCTTGATCAATACAAATTCAAGATGTTGCATGTGTGTCTAAATTTTCAACAGAATTAGGTGGTCTAGGGATGGATTTGGTGGTACAGTATATTAATACATACACTCAGTGGCCTTGTGTAATTTGGTAGCATGGTAACTGTACATGTAGATGGTGGCTGAGGGGAGGATTTGGTAGTACCGTGGACCCCCGCCTTATGAACTCATCGCCTTGCTTTAAATCCGCCATACGAAGCATTTGAACACAAAAATTTTGCCTCGCCTTACGTGATTCATCCAGGATGCGTCCCACGTGTGGCCTCAGCTGCCCTGTGGGTGCCAGTGTTTACAAGCCAGCCAGTGCGGTCGCATCAACACATACGTTCGGTACATTTCACCTTATCCCAGTGTTTTTTGTGCTTGTAACTGCAAAATAAGTCACCATTGGCCCCAAGAAAGCTTCTAGTGCCAACCCTGTGGTAAAAAGGGTGAGAATTAGTATGGAAATTAAGATTTTGAAGGGTTTGGGGCTAACCCTGAGAAGCCTATGCCAGTTGTGGAATCCATTGTGCCTACTTCAAAGATTAAGGAAATGTGTGCAAAGTGGGTTGAAGTGCAAACCTTTATGGATGAAAATCACCCTAACACAACTATTGCAAGCTGTGCTGGTGACTATTACAATGACAATGTTGTGGCCCATTTTAGGCAAATCTCAAAGGAAGGGGAGGTACAGACCTCTATGGACAGATTTGTTGTGCGACAGAGGTCCAGTGACTCTCAAGGTGGTCCTAGTGGCATTAAAAGAAGGGAAGTAACCCCAGAAAAGGACTTGCTACCTCAAGTCCTAATGGAAGGGGATTCCCCTTCTAAACAATAACTTCCACACACTCCCCTCCTCTCATCCCATCAATCATCACCAGATCTTCAATAAAGGTAAGTGTCATGTATTCTATTCTTAGTATAGTAGTAATTGTGCATGTCTTCTTCAGTTTGTGTGTATTAAAATTAATATTTCATATGGTAAAAATTTTTTTATTTTTCATACTTTGGGATGTCTTGCACGGATTAATTTGATTTCCATTATTTCTTATGGGGAAAATTAATTCGCCTTACGATAATTTTGGCTTACAATGAGCTCTCAGGAGTGGATTAATATCGGAAGGCGGGGGTCCACTGTACTGTATATTATGGTAGTACAATAATATATTTAGAAGGATGAAATAAAGTCGAGAGGCTAGTTGTAAACTGATAACTTATGGCAGTTAAAGGTCCCCATATTTTTTAGTTCACATAATCTAGCACCACTCTCCTATTAATATTATATTTAACCAGAATTAAGAACTTTTGCTTGTAACTTTTGTTTTTGCAAAAAATGGCCATTATTAGTGCCAGCAGAGTAATGCAGTGTTTTTCATTTCCATTTATATATATATATATATTTATATATTTATATATTTATATATATTTATATTTATATATATTTATATTATTTCCTCCCAAACAGATGAAGTGGCACTTGGGAACAGTATTGTTACTGGCGTGCATTGCTGCTGCTACGTCATTAAAATTGGATGAATGTGAAGGTAAGAGTATTTTAGATTTTTGATTGTAGACTGCTTGTGTAGGTAATGCATACTATCTAGTATGAGCTGGGTCTACCTACCCAGTGATTGCTCAAGTACCATTACTTTGCCTCTTGAACTTCCTGGCCTCTGTACTGTACTGTACTGTACTGTACTGTACTGTATGCCCCTTGTAAAAAACTGAAGGGTTGTGCTGGTCACAGGACCTTTTGATCTTTGCTGCCATATATATTTGAAATCTAAATGACTTTCCACATCATAACTTGTCTACATAACTGATTACACAAGGAAACTGACAAATGCACATTAGGTTATTATGGCAGGAATGTGGGTCATATCCCTACACATATAGGAGAGGAAGTGTCTTAAGGATCCCTTGACCTGAGCAAGGTAGTCTGAGTAACATAGAATTGATGGCAAAGGAGTTTAAACTGCTCCATAGTAATTGGCTGGGGAAGGACAATACAGAATTGGGAGTTCTCTATACATTGCTGCATTGACTGTCCAGTGCCTGATCCAGATTGCAAGCCAGTGGACTTGTTAGGTACTGAGAAATTTGTGTGCACAAGGAAATGCAGTATGACTTCCCAAAGGTGGCAAAACTTTTGTCTCCACTGTAGAACTAAGGAAAGGAGAATTGTAAGAGAACTGTCTTACAAAGAGCTAAAGATTGGGTCAAGGAAAGATAGATGGAAAAGAGCCGTAAAGATTGTAATCCTCAAAGGAACACAGTCCTTTGACATACTGCATTTTTGGGTGATGTTTGGAAGGGAATCCGCCATCAGTGGCAGGAGGGCCTGGCACACTCATTCTCTTCAGCGTTGGGCTCTGTCCGATCTTTTAATGGCCCCTGCCCTTGGGCTTGCCATTCCAACCGCTCGGTGGATGTTGCACAGACTCGCCTTAGTCGGGCACTCACGACTGGCGGTTCATCTGTAACACCTTCAGATGACGGACTCTCCGTACTGCCCATGGTGTCCCTCACAGCCTGAGACGGTGGAACACTTCCTGTTGTGGTGTCCACATTACCACTTTGCACGGACTACTCTCCGTGCGGCCTTGCGCACGCTTGGGGTGCACACTTTCACTCTACCTCTCCTCAACGGGGAAGGGTTTCGCTCTCTGGACTGTCGGTAGATATTGGCCTGTACCTGCTCCTTCCTGCTGGCTTCAGGGCGTATCAGGGACATTCTTCCACTTTGGTTGAGGTCCCCTCTCCTAGCACTGGACGGCCAGGCTCGATACGGCATATGCTGTCAGTGGCCCTGAAACCCAACAGAAGAAGAAGACGACGACGACGACTAAGAAAGTGCTGGACAAAAGCATGTTCCAGCTCACATAGGAAGAAGCAAAAGTTGCTAGTGATATGCTGGAACTGACAGCAACAGTGGGTGTGAAGGGACCCCTGACAAGGGGCCTGTTAGATCATGGTAGGCATAAGTGCCCACATTGAATATGGTCTTGAATGGTGTAGCATCATTTGTCTGATGAATGCTGTAGTGTACCTCATTGTATTGGCTTGCCACCCAGGGGAGGCGTATAGTAGATGAGGTGTGTAGCCCTTTAAGATTAGTTCAGTATCAGATAGACAGTAATTGTTTTTGTACTGAAGGAAAGTGTTGGGAAATTCTTCAACAGTTCAGTACAAAAATGTATCGTATTATATTAACTACACACACACAGTTATGGCTTACTGTATCTTTTTGTGCTTTGAGTAAGATATAAATATAAATGGGTTGAATTGTACAGGAGATTGAAAATTTAACTTATATAAAATTTTTATTTTTTTTTTTCAGTATGTATCACCTTCCTGGGCAAGTTCAGTGAGACACTCTCAGAAGAGGATAAGGCTAATCCTACAAGAATTGAAGACAAATTTAGAACAGCATGTGAAGATGCAAAGGGTAAATTAATAATCATAATGCTTCATAAATTGTTTTGAAATATTTGAAATTTATGAAAACAAAGCTAATTGGCAGAGAGTATGCATAGTTCCATTGTATAAAGGCAAAGGGGATAAAAGAGAGTGAAAAAGTTATAGAGGGATAAGTCTGTTGAGTATACCTGGTAAAGTGTATGGTAAAGTTATTATTGAAAGAATTAAGAGTAAGACGGAGAGTAGGATAGCAGATGAACAAGGAGGCTTTAAAAAAGGTAGGGAGTGTGCAGACCAAGTGTTACAGTGAAACATATAGGTGAATAGTATTTAGATAAGGGTAAAGAGGTTTTTGTGGCATTTATGGATTTGGAAAAAGCATATGACTGGGTGGATAGGGGGGGAATGTGGCAGGTGTATGCTATAGGAGGTAGGTTACTGAAAGCAGTGAAGAGTTTTTACGAGGATAGTGAGGCTCAGGTTAGAGTATGTAAGAGAGTGAGATTATTTCCCAGTAAAAGTAGGCCTTAGACAAGGATGTGTGATGTCACCGTGATTATTCAATATAGTATTTATGAATGGGGTTGTAAGAGAAGTGAATGTGAGGGTCTTGGCAAGAGGTGTGGAGTTAAAAGATAAAGAATCAAATACAAAGTGGGAGCTGTCACAGTTGCTCTTTGCTGATGACACTGTGCTCTTGGGAGATTCTGAAGAGAAGTTGCAGAGGTTGGTGGATGAATTTGGTAGGGTATGTAAAGAAGAAAATTAAAAGTGAATATAGGAAAGAGTAAGGTTATGAGGATAAAAAGATTAGGTGATGAAAGATTGGATATCAGATTGGAAGGAGAGAGTATGGAGGAGGTGAATGTATTCAGATATTTAGGAGTGGACGTGTCGGCAGATGGGTCTATGAAGGATGAGGTGAATCGTAGAATTGATGAGGGGAAAAGGGTGAGTGGTGCACTTAGGAGTCTGTGGAGACAAAGAACTTCGTCCGTGGAAGCAAAGAGGGAAATGTATGAGAGTATAGTTGAACCAACACTTGTATGGGTGTGAAGCATGGGTGATGAATGTTGCAATGAGGAGAAGGCTGGAGGCAGTGGAGATGTCATGTCTGAGGACAATGTGTGGTGTGAATATAATGCAGAGAATTTGTAGTTTGGAAATTAGGAGAAGGTGTCGGATTACCATAACTATTATCCAGAGGGCTGAGGAGGGGTTGTTTAGATGGTTCGTACATGTAGAGAGAATGAAACAAAACGAAATGATTTCGAGAGTGTATAAATCTGTAGTGGAGGGAAGGCAGGGTAGGGGTTGGCCCAGGAAACGTTGGAGGGAGGGGGTAAAGGAGGTTTTGTGTGCGAGGGGCTTTGACTTCCAGCAAGCGTGCGTGAGCGTATTTGATAGGAGTGAATGGAGACAAATGGTTGTTAATACTTGATGTGCTGTTGGAGCGTGAGCAAAGTAACATTTATGAAGGGATTCAGGGAAACCGGCAGGCTGGACTCGAGTCCTGGAGATGGGAAGTACAGTGTCTACACTCTGAAGGAAGGGTGTTAATGTTGCAATTTTTTTAACTGTAGTGTAAAGCACCCCTCTGGCAAGACAGTGATGGAGTGAATGATGATGGTTTTTCTTTTTCGGCCCACCCTGCCTTGGTGGGAATCGGCTGATGTTAATAAAAAAAAAAAAGCTAATTTTTAAGAAATATTCCAGGGCTCGGATAGTATTTATGAATGTGCACAGTTTGTGCTTCTAAATTGTCAACGGCTTTGTGAGCAGTTAAGATAATTTGTGGTAAATTATATTACTATATCCTTGTTACTTTTAGGTAAAGACAATCGCTTCTGCTACTATATTGGTGGTTTGGAAACATCTGCCACAGGCATTTTAGGAGAAATGTCCAAACCAATGTCCTGGGGAATGCCAATGGACAAGATTTGTGAGAAATTAAAGAAAAAAGATGCCCAGATATGTGACCTAAGATATGGTAAGTGTTGCCAAGTCTAATGCTTTAAACCCTTAAACTGTCCAAGTTGATCTACGTTCACATGCGTAGTGCTCCAAAAGTAGATCTACGTTTTTTTTTACATATTTTCAAATATAACGAAAAAAAAGTAGATCCAAGTTTTTTACACGTTTTCAAATGTAAAAAAAAAAAAAAAAAAAAAGGATCTACATTTTTTACATTCAAATGTTGAAAAAACATAGATCTACGTTTGGACAGTTTAAGGGTTAAACTGCACAGTATTACTAAACATTTCTTCACTCTTCCATTCATGCTTGTGATTGATTCTTACTTATTATATTGCCCCTCTTGCAGAAAATCTATTAACGAAAGGTTTCTCTTCAGAAATAAAATGGTGTACCTTTATGTAATTTAATAGTGTGATCTTGATTTGCTGATACTGAAAGCAGCTTAAATTTAAATAATGGTGGCAGAGATGAGTAAACTGAAATAAGTGGGAAAATGGATTGAATGCCTGCTTTTTTTTTTTTTTTTCCCCGTATTACATTCTCCAGGGAAATCCTTCATCTTAATTCTGCACTAATTTTTTCTCTAACATGGGTTTTGTTCATTTTTACATTATCTAAATGTATGAAGTGCTTTATCTTCTCACCCCTTACTCTTTGGGTAAAGGTCTGGCTGGATGGGCTCTTGCTAGACCAAAAATATTTTATTTTGCAACTGTTGAATGTGGATTATTCTTAGATTACCCATAGTTAATGTATGGTTCAGTCAATATCTGTTCATATAGTTATTGTATGGTTCATTCAGTATCAGTGTTACATATTCGTATGGATTAAAAATCATTCAAAATTTAGTCTGCTGAAGAAGTTTACAGTGTCCTTTTTTTATGCAAAGGTTAATTTGGCATTACTTTAACCCTTAAACGGTCCAAATAGATCGACGTTCAAATCCGTAGTGCTCCAAAAGTAGATCTGTTTTTTTTTACATATTTTCAAATATAACAAAAAAATGTAGATAAGTTTTTTTTACATTTTCAAATGTGAAAAAAAAAGACGTACATTTTTTTACATACTTTCAAATGTTGAAAAAACGTATATATACGTTTGGACCGTTTAAGGGTTAAGTGGCGTGATTACCCATTTTGTATTTGATGCTGTGTTTTCTTAGTAAAATTTCATCTGCTATCTTTGGAAATATTTTATATATTGGTTAGGCTTTTTATTTGCAATAGTCAGCATTTTAAGTTTTTAGTTATGCGAGTTTATAGCAGCATAATTTCTCAACAAAATCTGTAATACCATTGGACTTGCTTTTGCTCTTTTGAGTTCTCTTAAAACATGTTGGCTTTTTTTTTTTAAGGAATGCATGTGAATTATGTATGTTAATCTTTCTTGGTTATATGTATTGTATTTGTTTTTAATTCTAGATTCAATTTCTCATTTTTTTGAGAGCTTGCACACTCCCTAACATTTTGAAATGGTGATAGGATGGAAGTTAAACGTTAATACTTAATTCTTTTCATCTTGGCATTCTTTCCATTTACCAAACTACTAGTGGCTTTTACCCCATTTTATCTAGGTCACATACATTGGTATTATTGGATCAACTTTTCATACTCGGTTTTAAGTATTAATTTGAAAGGTATTCATAAATTTTCTTGTTTTTGACAGAGAAGCAGATTGATCTAAAGAATGTGGATTTGAAGAAGCTTAAGGTCAGAGACCTAAAGAAGATTCTTAATGACTGGGATGAATCTTGTGATGACTGCTTAGAGAAAGGAGACTACATAAAGAGAATTGAAACTCTTAAACCCAAGTACATGCGAGGTGAACTGTAATGTGGATGAAACTAGGATGAAGAGGCTAGTGCTTACTATTTATTTTTGTGATGGGCATTGCGTTCAAACTATGAAAGAGTATAACTGAACATCTGAAGTATTGAAGAACACTGAGTTTAGGTTCTTAATTGTTTTAGTGTGTGGCAGTGCATGAAGTCATTGAAATGATTTGTAGTGAATTAGACATGAAGATTTAATTATATTCCCTTTACTATTAACTTTTCCTTGTCAGATTTGGGCTAGATGATCTTGCCCTTACAAAAGAGATTAAAAATGTTTTATTGAATATTTGCAAGTTTGGAGGGGTTCAGTTTTTAGAATATAAAAACTTTTGCAACTAGAGGAAACTTTTCTATTACTAGATACTGTCCAAATTGATACATAGTTATACCAGCTCTTTGTGTAAAATTCTTGCATCTGCATACACTAGTCACTTAGCATATTTATTTACTTCAGTTACTTTCATAAAGTGAAAATGTGAAGGAAAATTTCTCTTAATTTTCTTATTCACTGTAGCACAAACAGGTAACACTACAAATAATTTTGAGGATTTTATAAATGTTGTTAATAAATCCTTTTGTATATACATGTTTTTTCTTACCATTTGTTAAGATTAATTTGCTTGTAAAAGTAAGGCATAGAAATTTATTGTTGCAGTATTATGAATTATTAATTAAAACTGTTGCCTTGAAGAATAGGGCAAATTAAGACATTTCCATTTTTAACACTGCAGTTCTTAGGAATTTGAGAAAATGATTTTGACAAGATTCTAGCTGTGATTGATATCTGTACAACCTCATTATCATTATTTATGAATATTTTACAAATGAACCACCTTCATGATGAGTTGATTCTGGTAAATGGCTCTTAATCTGAGAAATTGAAGCTGCACTTCCGTCTCTTGAATTTAACATGTTTTCTTCACATTTCCCAGATGCTATTTTATCCGTTGTAGATTGTTTTCCAGTATACTAAACAGCCAAACTCACTAAGCATGTTTAATTCCTTAAAATTTTGAAACAGTAGATGGAAGGCCTTGAATCTTTGCTGACTCTGATGGCTTGTATTACACTTGTTCACACCTCCATCTTTCATTCCTCCTTCTCTTATTGCCCTTGCTGTCTCTTACCTCAGCCATGCAGTGCAGTTTGAGCCTTACAGGGTGCCAATGAGGGACTCTTGATCCAAGGAATTGGACTTGTCCTTCCCTTGAATCAAACTTGAATGCCTCCCATTCCCTAGGTGCTATACATTTCCCCTGTGGGGTTAGCATTTCCCCCCCTATTAAAATTAAATGACCCTTGCAGGTTTAGTGCATTTCATGTATATATATAGTACACAAGCTGTGTAAATAGTATGAGTTTACTGTAAAGAAGTGTGGAGGTTCAAATAGATAACATGGTATAATACAGAAAACTAGGAGTAAAAACCACCTGTAGATTGTCAAAAGAAAATGCTTAGTGTTTTATTGAATGAGTGATGGTAAATGTATTGCTCTCAAGTTGCCATACCTCAGGGGATGGGGGGTTAATGGCTGATGGAGGGGCTTTAATGGCTGATAGAAGGGGGGGAATATATATACTATTAGGATGGATAATGAAAGGTCAAGAACAAATGATTTACTGAATTTATTATTACCGATCACGCATCGTAACATAGGCACTATAGTTGGACAGAGAATGCAAAGTACTGAACTGAATTTTCCTTTCAGGCCTACATAATTTGACCTCTTGATAACAAAACTAATAATCATTTTTGCAACATTAACTGCACTGCAACAGTTTTGAAAGTAATTGGTTGACACAATGTTAGAAAGAAACTACATCTTTCTCTTACACCCTGGTTATGTGGTGGTGGGAATGTTGAGCTATATAATATTTTTCTTATGATGCTATTACTGAGTAAAGTACTACAATATTGCTGCCATTTTTATTGTTAATACAGGGCTTGACTGCTAATATTAGTTTGTTGCTGTTAGGTTTCTTTTGATTGGTTGCTGCCTCACACCTGTTACAGCTGCTGTATACTGTTGGTCATAGGCGGCATATTCTATTTGTAGGGATGTGGGGACAGGGAGAAAATGCAAAGGCTGGGATTAGGGAGAAGAAAGTGTTTGTATATGTATCCTGAGTAAAAGAGAGGAAGGAAGAGCCTACTTGAGGAAGGGGACATTGCCCATGGGCGAGTCGTGTATGAAATTTGCAATCTCCTGGGCAAGGACGGTGCCTTCCTCCACATCAGTGCAGGGCCGGCACATGCAGTCAATAGGTGCACGAGTCAGGATCTGGCCAGGACAAGGTAGAAAGTTAGTACAGTATTTTAAGTTTTTCTGATAAATTAACTGATTTTACTGCACACAAGGTAATGAAAAGTAATCTTCAAGATGCTTGTGGTCCTATTTTCTTGTTAGATTTTACCAGTAATTTGGGTACTATTCTTTCCATAAAGGATGCCTGAAGAATGCTTCTGGGGATCAATGACCCGCATCCCAGTTCCAGACGGGCCTCTCGGTGAATACAAGGCCTGATCAACCAGGTTGTTACTGATGGCCACACTCCAACACAAACCACAGCCTGGCTTGTCAGGAACTGATTTTCTCCCTTATTGCAATTTTCAGTACATTACTGTTTCTCATTGTAGTCTCTATTTTGGGTAATCCTTACTCTTCACATTTTTATTTCTCAGCTGAAGGAGGTTGACTTTTATGAATGATGCACATGAAATTAAAATATGTGGTACCTCGGGATACGAATTTATTTCGTTCGAGAAGGCTGTTCGAGTGACGATACCAAACGAATTTGTTCCCATAAAGAATAATGTAAATTAGATTAATCTGTTTCAGACCCCCAAAAATACACTTACAGAAGCACTTACATAAATACACTTGCATAACTGTTCGAGTTTTGAGCTGTTCATATCCTGAGGTACCACTGTACTGTACTCTACTCCTGTAACCTAATTCCCAGCTGCAGGAAAAATACCTTACACTACGAACCCTCATTACAAACAAAGATCATACATTTTTTTCCTCTAATTGTAAAGTAGATTTTATCATTCTCTAGTTATTGTTAATTTTTTTATGTGAAAGTGTATAACAGTGCAAGGGCTTTGCATGTAACATCACAAGCCTATTTGAGTTGTTTCAGCAGTAGACTTTAAAGCTTCTGAGTGTGGTGATGCAGTGTAGTGTTAGATTCACAGATTAAGTGTGGGCTGTCTTGAATTCATTAAAATTAGTTATGTACCATAGAAAGTGGCTTAATAATTTCAGTAGCTGTTTGACCCTTATGGGGACTGCTGTGGGTTTGGTGCTTACCTATAAGTATACATAGTAATAATGGGCTAAGTGATGACATTTGCTTTCTGGTAAAGTTGTTAACTTTGGTACCATTGAAATGAACAAGACAGACTAATGATTACTAAAGTGTTTAACCAGTGTGTGTGTGTTAAGTAACACTTCAGAGGTAGCCTTAGTTCTGGCAGCAATCTTAATGAGATACACACTGCTGAATACAATATCCCTAACATTAATTATTTAAATAGTCTAAAACTAGTATTATTTTTGCTATCTTATTATTAATCTTATTCCACTTGAATAATTAATAAAAACAGGCTACCCTTAATCATCATCATTCATTAATGTTACGCTATTTTAAGTGTGAGAGACTTGTCTTGCATGATAATGTTCACTTGTACACTTACCTTTTTTTGCTTGGGTTCTCCCTGACGAGCATTGGGACAGTTGAGTATGACTGATGCCTCTCGTTCTCCAGACTCTTGGCAGCACATACAAGACCTCTCTGTCTGCCACAGCTTATTCCCTGACACCTGGAAATTTGGCATGTTGTTAATTTTGCCTATTGCAGTTTTTCACATTTTTAAAATTGTGTATATTATTGTATACTGTTTAAATGCTTTGGTACAAAAGTTAGTCATATGCCTGTACTGTGTGTGTGTGTGTGTTGTATATATATGTACATGTATTATGTATGTATTTATGTAATATATATGTATTTATGTATTATGTATGTATATATGTATTAATGTTAGGTAGTATGGTAGAGAGCATCCACCCAGGAAAGTGCTACTGCCCTGCTGAGTGTGAAATGGAAACCTGCAATTGTTTTACATGATGGTATGATTGCTGGTGTCTGTCTCCATAAACACAAGACTGCAGGTATGTCTTGCTACTTCTGCTTACACTTAGGTCACACTACACATGCGTGTATATGCTTACATATACACACCCCTCTGGGTTATCTTCTGTTTTCTTACTAGTTCTTGTTGTTCTTTATTTCTTCTTATCTCTATGGGGAAATGGAAAAAAATTCTTCTTCCATAAGCCATGTGTGTCGTAAGAGGCAACTAAAATGCCAGGACCGAGGGGCTAGTAACCCCTTCTGTATAAATTATTAATTATTATATTATGTATTATGCAAGACAAGCCACCGGGGGACAGAAATGTTTAGCTCAAGTACTTTCACACTTCTCAGTGCATCATCAGGAGTTATGCAAAGTTGCAAGGCAACAACTGAAGGAGTGAGGGAAAGTTTTCTCGGTAGCACAGTGTGGGTTTGTCACCTGCCGCAGCCTCTCTTGGAATGTGATAAACCTGCACTGCGCTACTCTGAGAAAACTTCCCCTCACTCCTTCAGTTGTTGCCTTGCAACTTTGCATAGCTCCTGATGATGCACTGAGAAGTGTGAAAGTACTTGAGCTAAAAATTTCCACTTCCCCCATGGCTTGTCTTGCATTGTTAAAATAGACTGTCTACGATTGTTTACATTATGTATTATGTATACGTTAGTTACCAATTATTTGTCACACTTGATAATAGACACTTGACTTGGTGGAATGGGGGGAGTTTACATGTGTGTGGAAGAAAGAAGGAAATTAAGAGAACGCAGAAAAGATAAAAGTAACAAGGGCAAAAAGTCTTGACTGGTGGGAAGGAGTACAAAGGAAGTGGATATGTTTAGGAGTGGACATGGCTGCAGATGGGTCTATGAAAAGCAAAGTGAACCATTGAAAGGCATCCGTTTAAAAAAAGAAATTTGTTTATAGAGGCAAAAAAGAGAATGTACCTTAGATAGTGGAACCAACACTTGTGTGGGTGTGAGAAATGGGTTATGAATCACTGTATCAAGGACGAGACTCAAGGCAGTGGAGATGTGTTCAGAGCAATGATTGGCGTGATTGTCTTAGAGAATTTTAAGCATAGCAGTTGAGGCAATGTGTGGTTACCAAGGATATAAATCAGAGGATTGAGGTGGTTTGGGAAATGTAGAGAGGATACAGGAGGATAGGATGATAAAGAATGTATAAATCTGGAGTGGAAGGTAGGAGGGGTAGGGGTCATCCCAGCATGCTTTTGTGAGCATGTTAGATACATACAAGTAAATGGAGACTAAGTGGTTTTTAACAGATGTGCTGTTGAAGTTTGAGCAAGGTACCTCTTATGAAGGGATTCAGGGGAAATTGGCTGGCCAGACTTGAGTCCTGGAGGTAGGAAGGGCAATGCCTGTACTCTGAAGGAGGGGTGGGGATGTTGAAGTCGGAGTGTATTTTAAATTGTGATTCCAGTTCACTTTTGGAAAGATGGTGATTGAATGAATTATGGTGAATGTGTTTTCTTCTTCCTCCATGGGGAAGTGGAACAGAATTCTTCCTCCGTAAGCCATGCGTGTTGTAAGAGGCGACTAAAGTGCCAGGAGCAAGGGGCTAGTAACCCCTTCTCCTGTATATATTACTAAATGTAAAAGGAGAAACTTTCCTTTTTCCTTTTGGGCCACCCCCGCCTCGGTGGGATACGGCCGGTGTGTTGAAAGAAGAAAGTGTTTTCTTCTTTGGGTCACCCTGCCTTTAAATCAGTAATGCAACAGATTGTCTAGTTTCAACCTTTAACAAAGCTCCAGCAGTAAACGTAGATAGAGAGGGCTGGAACTGATGTTAAAATGAAGCTAATGTATTATTCTTTCAGGACTGGAATTATAACAGTGTGGCATTAACCTTGCTCTGGTTTTATTTGATTTTGCTTTGTGTGAACCATTTGTTAATCTAGATTTTTAATATGCTGGAACAAATAAACCTTTCCCTGATGGTAAAGGGCTTTTGCGCACAGGAATTTGACTGACCCTTCCCTTTCATTCCAGCTTTAATATCTCCTGTTACCTCACTCTTGTTTGACCCTTAGGGGTTTCTCTCTCCTGCCAATGAATGTAATAATAGAACAAATAATATATTGGCTTTAAAATGGCATCAGTAAAAGTTAATAACAAAGTGCTAGGCATACTCACCTGGACATAGGAGGTGCACCTGCCCTGGCAAGCAAAGGAAGGTATGGGCTTGGAGGTACAGCCTTGGTAGGAGAGGATGTGAATAACAGGTGTGAGGGAACACTCATCTGTCCACACTACACCCACACTTGCTATGCCCATCACCAGTGCCCAAGAGATCCTGCCCATCCTGCCAAAGGATGGAGTGGTACTTGACTGATCCCGTTTGGTGCTTTTCTCTCAGATGAGTGATTAATAGTATGTGTGAAGAGTAGTAAGAGAGAATGTGTGGTGTACTGTGTATGTGTGTATGTGTGTGTGTGTGAAGGAAATGGAGTGTGGGACGCAACTGTGAGCGAGGACCCGGCCAACCTATGGTTTATAGTCTCCTCCTAAGGGGTGCTCCGCCCCCTGCCATTGCCTTCCTGTAAGCCACACCCCCCTTTCTGTCCTTCCCCATCTTCCCAAGAGCCACGCCCTTCAACTTGGAAATTGAGACTTTCCCTCTCTTGGATGTCGTGCCTTTTACTCTCCCCTGTGGTGTCATGACCCTCTCACAGCAGGGAGTGGAAGTGAACTGATAGTGCTTTTTTATGGTTATTGATCTTTCAGGAAGTCTGTAGTGATTATATATATACTCAAACCATTTAAAAGGATAGTATGTAAATAGATTAACTAAAAATTATTTGATGTTTGTGTGTACTAAAAAATGGTCTTGTTAAAATTACTTAATAGCATCTCCAGTAAATTTTCATAAGTCTGGTATTTGGCTTTGTTGCTTATCAGGTTTTGAATGGAAGAGGTTGTAAATGCAGAGGTGCTGGGCCAGGATTGGTCGAGGTGCTGGGCCAGGATTGGTCGAGGTGCTGGGCCAGGATTGGTCGAGGTGCTGGGCCAGGATTGGTCGAGGCTGCTGGCCAGGACTGGTCGAGGGCTGGGCCAGGACTGGTCGAGGCGCTGGGCTAGGACTGGTCGAGGCGCTGGGCCAGGACTGGTCGAGGCGCTGGGCCAGGACTGGTCGAGGCGCTGGGCCAGGACTGGTCGAGGCGCTGGGCCAGGACTGGTCGAGGCGCTGGGCCAGGACTGGTCGAGGCGCTGGGCCAGGACTGGTCGAGGCGCTGGGCCAGGACTGGTCGAGGCGCTGGGCCAGGACTGGTCGAGGCGCTGGGCCAGGACTGGTCGAGGCGCTGGGCCAGGACTGGTCGAGGCGCTGGGCCAGGACTGGTCGAGGCGCTGGGCCAGGACTGGTCGAGGCGCTGGGCCAGGACTGGTCGAGGCGCTGGGCCAGGACTGGTCGAGGCGCTGGGCCAGGACTGGTCGAGGCGCTGGGCCAGGACTGGTCGAGGCGCTGGGCCAGGACTGGTCGAGGCGCTGGGCCAGGACTGGTCGAGGCGCTGGGCTGGGGTAGGGAGATACATTGGATTGGGACTGGGCAGTATTATGTGAGGACTGGTCAGTGTGCTGGGCTAGGACTGGGTGGTAAGCTGGGCAAGGGCAGGGAAGTACATTGGGTTAGGCTGTGCAGTAAGCTAAACCTGGATGTGGCAGTTTTTTTAGGCTAGATTTGCAACTGGGCTGTAGTTTGGAGACACAAATTTTGGTTTATTTCTTTTCAGATGCAATTTTTTTGACGTGCTATTTTGGAAGACTAGATTTTTTTAACCCTTAAACGGTCCAAACAGATCGACGTTCAAATTCGTAGTGCTACAAAAGTTGATCTACTTTTTTTACATATTTTCAAATATAACAAAAAAAATGTAGGTAAGTTTTTTTTTACGTTTTCAAATGTAAAACAAAAAAGATCTACATTTCTTTACATACTTTCAGATGTTGAAAAAACGTATATATACATTTGGACCGTTTACGGGTTAATTAGAGATTTACGAAAAAACTAACTACTGGGAACGGTTGAAGGCCCTTGATCTGTATTCCCTGGAATGCAGGCGAGAGAGATACGTACATGATAATATACACTGGGAAAGTCCTGGAGGGATTGGCACCAAACCTGCACACAAAATTCACTCCCTATGAAAGCAAAAGACTTGGCAGGAGATGTAGTATTTCCCCAATGAAAAGCAGGGGCGCCACGAGTACATTGAGAAAGAACACAATAAGTGTCCGGGGCCCAAGACTGTTTAACTGCCTCCCAGCATACATAAACGGGATTACCAATAGACCCCTGGCTATCTTCAAGAAGGCACTGGACAGGCACCTAAAGTCAGTACCTGACCAAACGGGCTGTGGTTCGTACGTCAGTTTGTGTGTGGCCAGCAGTAACAGCCTGGTTGATCAGACCGTGATCCACCATGAGGCCTGGTCTCAGACCGAGCTGCTGGGGCATTGACCCCGAAACCCCCTCCAGGTAAACAGTGTAGTTTAATTTTTGTGAAGAGACATTTTATCTCTGTTGTATATATGTTTAATACTGTACGTGTACTTTTATAACAGTAATACAATTTATAATCTTTTTTTTTTTTTTTTTCTGAAAAATTAAAAATGATGTGGGTATACTTTACATAATTTTTTGTAATTTGACTAGTTAACTGAAATTTATTTATTAAAATTTATTTATCAACAGATTTTGGAGCACTAGAGTTGATTATCCTATCTCGTTGTTTAATTGATGATGGTGAATGTTTCTCTTTGTAGGTCGTTCTACCTTGGTGGGAAATGGCCTGTGTGCTTTAAATAAAACAGGGGCAGCCCTAGAAAGTACTAGGGAGAAAGATACTAGACATAAATAAGAGATACCAGAGAAAGTACCAGCCAGTGGTATGGAACTGCAGTAGTAATGGTACTAAACCATATTGCTAGACTACTAGGTTTTTTTTATCGGTAGGGGGGAGTCAGAATACTAAGGAATAATACCAGACAGCATGAGGTGAGAGAACCAGACCTTACATGAAAGACAATAGATACCAGAGACAGCATAAAATGATACATGAGTAATTTATTTGCCAAGGTACACAACTGTTACAAGGATGGGTTGATAAATTCATTCCCATTAGGGAAAGGGGGAGGTGGTTGTCTCCTTTCCTAGGAGTAATTGTGATTGCCTCCCATTTCTTTGTAGGTTTAGCATTTCACCATAAGAATATTGATGAGAGTAGTATAAGAATTGGGGACAGTAGTGTTACAGCACTACCAAATAGTGGCCACCAAAATCAATGACTGTGTTAAGATAAAGCATGTGGGCGTAGGGGAAGGGGAGTGAGTAGGTCACAGCAGGGAGCTAATGCATGGGTGGCATTGTGCGCGTCACCCCGCTGGTTCCCCGCTTTTCCTCTTCCCCTTTCCCCTCCACCTCTCTACCTTCCCCTGTCAACCTCCCTCCTTCCCTCAGTCCCCCACTCAAACTTCCTGGTCATAACACCCACCCTCTCCTCCCCAACCTCCTCTTCCCTCTCTCTCTGCAGATTGTGTCCCCTTCCCTGTAATAACACATTCCTGAATATTTTATTTATTTTTTTTATTATCACACTGGCCGATTCCCACCGAGGCAGGGTGGCCCGAAAAAGAAAAACTTTCACCATCATTCACTCCATCACTGTCTTGCCAGAAAGGTGCTTTACACTACAGTTTTTAAACTGCAACATTAACACCCCTCCTTCAGAGTGCAGGCACTGTACTTCCCATCTCCAGGACTCAAGTCCGGCCTGCCGGTTTCCCTGAACCCCTTCATAAATGTTACTTTGCTCACACTCCAACAGCACGTCAAGTATTAAAAACCATTTGTCTCCATTCACTCCTATCAAACACGCTCACACATACCTGCTGGAAGTCCAAGCCCCTCGCACACAAAACCTCCTTTACCCCCTCTCTCCAACCTTTCCTAGGCCGACCCCTACCCCGCCTTCCTTCCACTACAGACTGATACACTCTTGAAGTCATTCTGTTTTGCTCCATTCTCTCTACATGTCCAAACCACCTCAACAACCCTTCCTCAGCCCTCTGGACAACAGTTTTGGTAATCCCGCACTTCCTCGTAACTTCCAAACTATGAATTCTCTGCATTATATTCACACCACACATTGCCCTCAGACATGACATCTCCACTGCCTCCAGCCTTCTCCTCTCTGCAACATTCATCACCCATGCTTCACACCCATATAAGAGCATTGGTAAAACTATACTCTCATACATTCCCCTCTTTGCCTCCAAAGACAAAGTTCTTTGTCTCCACAGACTCCTAAGTGCACCACTCACTCTTTTCCCCTCATCAATTCTATGATTCACCTCATCTTTCATAGACCCATCCGCTGACACGTCCACTCCCAAATATCTGAATACATTCGCCTCCTCCATACTCTCTCCCTCCAATCTGATATTCAATCTTTCATCACCTAATCTTTTTGTTATCCTCATAACCTTACTCTTTCCTGTATTCACCTTTAATTTTCTTCTTTTGCACCTTACCAAATTCATCCACCAATCTCTGCAACTTCTCTTCAGAATCTCCCAAGAGCACAGTGTCATCAGCAAAGAGCAGCTGTGACAACTCCCACTTTGTGTGTGATTCTTTATCTTTTAACTCCACGCCTCTTGCCAAGACCCTCGCATTTACTTCTCTTACAACCCCATCTATAAATATATTAAACAAACACGGTGACATCACACATCCCTGTCTAAGGCCTACTTTTACTGGGAAATAATTTCCCTCTTTCCTACATACTCTAACTTGAGCCTCGCTATCCTCGTAAAAACTCTTCACTGCTTTCAGTAACCTACCTCCTACACCATACACTTACAACATCTGCCACATTGCCCCCCTATCCACCCTGTCATATGCCTTTTCCAAATCCATAAATGCCACAAAGACCTCTTTAGCCTTATCTAAATACTGTTCACTTATATGTTTCACTGTAAACACCTGGTCCACACACCCCCTACCTTTCCTAAAGCCTCCTTGTTCATCTGCTATCCTATTCTCCATCTTACTCTTAATTCTTTCAATAATAACTCTACCATACTTTACCAGGTATACTCAGCAGACTTATCCCCTATAATTTTTGCACTCTCTTTTATCCCCTTTCCTGAATATACTGATATTTATACACTTGTGTATTTGTGTCACATAAGGACAGTGTTTCTTGGGCGGCAAAAATGCTGACCTCGGAGAAGTGGGGAAGAGTATTTGTAAGAACACGTGCCAGTCTTACCTTGATCACTTATTTTCACTTCGGTCCCGGCTTCATTTTTTTTTTATCTATGCCCTTCAAAATTGTTTTATTAATTTTTCACATTTTTCTTCAGAGTTGTCTGTTATTCATTTCTTCATCATTATTACTTGGTTCTTTTCTATTTAATTCCATCATTCATTTATCAATTCATGTGTGTGTATGTACGCTTTTATGTGTTGCTGCAAGGGTTGAGTCTCGGCTCCTGGCCCCACCTCTCAACTTGCTGCTTGCCAGATTCACTCCCTTCTGGCCATGTAGGCTTTATCATATCTGCTCTAAAAGCTGCATTATATATGTATAACACACCAACCATCTTTCACTAAGGTAGTGACCCCCAAAAAGAGGAAACATTCATCATCATTCATTCAGTAGCTATCTTGTCAGATGTGTGCAGACATCACAATTCAGATGACCCTTAGAATTGCCACATTTCCTTCCTCAAGTGCAGGCACTGTACTCCCACTTCCAGGACTTAAGTCTGGCTAACCAGTTTCTCCTGAATTCTTTCATCAATGTTACCTTGTTTACACTACAATAGCACATCAAGCCATAAGAACCACTTGTCTCCATTCATTCTGATCGGCCATGTTCACACAACCCTGCTGGATGCTCAACTCCTAGCATTCAAGCCCTTTATCCCCTTCCTTGAACAATCTGTACCCCTCCTTCCTCATCATCATCATCCTATTTTGCT